AAAAAAAAAAAAAAAAAAAAGAAAAGAAAAAGATGCAAATAGTTTGTGTGTTCTACAGTTTCCTGTGAAGTTGCCCAAATTCATTTTTCAAAATGGAAGTGATGAAACATTTTCTTTCCTGGTCCAAGTTGGCCCGGAGACCTCTGTGCTGAGAATTTGGGCCGGGAGCACAAAGCAGGGGCTCCCTGACCTCTGCCGGCCGACTGGCCGTCCCTGTTGGGCAAGTTAAAAATACACATACCCCTCAGGCTCCCCAGAATCTCCTAGAATCTCAAACCCAGCACCTGTAAGATACACCTTTATTTTGTGACCCATTAAGAAAACTGCGCCAAGGGAAATGCTCGTTTAGACTTTTTATATTTATTGAAAGAGCTCTTTCTGACCACGTTAGGCACGTTTCCGTATCACGGTTCGTAAATAAAAAGTAAAACAGGAGAGGTTTTCTTGAAATTTTGCACTGTGGTTCCGGCGCTCTGAACTGTCACCGCCCAGAGTTCTGTTGTGTTTCCCCAAACAGCGTCATCCTCTGGGCCATGGTGGGCGTTGGTGACGTTCAGCACTACTGAAGAGCTTTATTTTGCTCTTGGCTCCAGAAGTTTCTTCTAAGTTGCTGATACTTACTCTGCAAGGTCTGATGTCGGGCTTTCCCGACCTGACCAGGAGGAGCCTGGCGATGACAAGGTCACAGTTGCCCCTTGTTGATGGCGATTGTGGGAGATGATGCCCATATGTGAGAACATGGGCATCTCAGAATCTGTGCAGCACAGCACTTCGAGGGAGGTCTGTGTCAGAGCCAGTGTTTCACGGTCTTGATTGTGTCACATGACGTCATTAAATAAGGTTTCATGACATCCGGGCAGCAGGGAGGGAGCCATTAGGCTACTCAGAAAACAAACAGACCTCGCTGACTTACTCAGATGCGAATTTCTGGTTCCGCATCCTTGTTAGAGAGTTTCGCGTTTGATTTCTGGCAAGAATTGCATGAGACCCTTCATGCGATTTGCTAGATTCCCCAATGGCAGCCGGGCGTGCAGGGTCCTCGGCTGGTCCTCCCAGCTGGCACGGGACACGGCGTTTTAGCCAACGCTTGGGATGTGGGAAAGCTGTCGGTGCAGACCTATCCCTCCCAGAGTGACTGGAAGCCTCTGCGGATTGGGACTTGGCTTTGGTCTCAGCTGCAGGCTTCACACCCTGTCCTGGAACCAGGGGAGAGAAGCCACCGTATCACTTTCTAAACTTTCCAGCCCACGGCCTGTTCCACTATGGGTTCTTTCTTTTTTTTTCTTCTTTTTTTGAGGTGGTCAAGTTCCACCTGACAGGGTGTGGTGTTTCCTGGAGTGTGACAACTGTGGGCACTTTTCTTCCCCAGCCTTGACAACAGCCACCTCTGTGTCCCGACCACACTGGCTTCAGGAGGAAGGGGCAACAGGTCGGTCAGACCCAGAGCCATAGGGAGGGCCAGCTGGGAGCAAGTTTGGTGCTCTGGCCCATACTTCATCGATGTTGGGGTTTCCAGGGATGGGGAAGATCGGTGGCAGTACGGAAATGTGACAGGGCTGGTCTCTTTGATGGCGGGGTTTCAGAAGTATACTCTCGGGGCTCCTGGGCGGCTCAGTTGGTTACGCGTCCGATTTCAGCTCCGGTCATGATCTCACGGTCTGTGAGTTCGATCACCATGTCCGGCTCTGTGCTGACAGCTCAGGGCATGGAACCAGCTTCGGATTCTGTGTCTCCCTCTCTCTCTCTCTCTGCCGCTCCCCTGCTCATGCTCTGTCTTTCTCTGTCTCAAAAATAAAATAAAAACATTAAAAAAAAAAAGTATACTCTCAAGCCAGCCAGGCTAGGGACAGGTCTGTTATCCCCGCTAAAGCAAATTAAAATAATCTCTGGGCCGTCTGCATTAAAAAAGGAAGCGCCTGCGGTGTTCTGCATGACAGCTCGCAGATAAAACCCCAGCAGAGCCCGACTGC